CCAAGGAGTGGGATGGCTGGGTTGAACGGTAGGGTTATCTTCAGGTTTCTGAGGAATCTCCAGACTGACTTCCATAGTGGCTTGACCAGTTTGCATTCCCACCAACAGTGGGTTAGTGTCCCTTTTTCCCCACATCCTCGCCAGCATCTGTTGTTGGTAGATTTCTGTATGTGAGCCATTCTAACCAGGGTGAGGTGAAACCTCATTGTGGTTTTGATTTGCATTTCCCTGATGGCTAGTGATCCTGAACATTTTTTCATGTGTCTGTTGGCCATTTGGATTTCCTCTTTTGAAAAATGTCTATTGAGGTCCTTGGCCCATCTCTTAACTGGGTTGTTTGTTTTGTTGTTGTGGAGTTTCTTGATCTCTTTGTAGATTCTGGTTATTAACCCTTTATCTGTTGCATAGTTTGCAAATATTTTTTCCCATTCTGTCGGCTGCCTTTTCACTTTCCTGACCATTTCTTTTGCAGTACAGAGACTTCTCAATTTGATGCAATCCCAAATGTTAATTTTGGCTTTGACTGCCTGTGCTTACGGGGTCCTTTCCAAGAAGTCTTGGCCGGTGCCAATATCTTACAGGGTTTCTCTAATATTCTCTAATAGTTTGATGGTGTCGGGTCATAGATTTAGTTCTTTAATCCATGTTGAGTGGATTTTTGTGTAAGGTGAATGGTAGGGGTCTTGCTTCATGATTCTGCACGTGGAAATCCAGTTTTCCCAGCACCATTTATTGAATAGACTGTCCTTGCTCCAGGAATTGGTTTTAGATCCTTGATCAAATATAAATTGGCTGTAGATGTTTAGATTGATTTCTGGTGTTTCTACTCTGTTCCATTGGTCTATCCATCTGTTTCTGTACCAGTACCACGCTGTTTAGATTACAACTGCCCTGTAGTATGTCCTGAAATCTGGTATTGTGATGCCTCCGACTTTGTTTTTGTTGTACAAGATTGCTTTAGCTATTTGAGGTCTCCTGTGTCTCCATACGAATTTCAGCATCATTTTTTCCAGATCTGAGAAGAATGCCTTTGGTATCTTGATTGGTATTGCATTGAATCTATAAATTGCTTTTGGGAGAATGGACATTTTGATGATACTGATTCTTCCAATCCATGAGCATGGAAGATTTTTCCATTTTTTGGTATCCTCTTCTATTTCTTTCTTTAAGATTTTGTAATTCTCATTGTAGAGATCTTTGATGTCCTTGGTTAAGTTTATTCCAAGGTATTTGATTGTTTTTGTGGCTATTGTGAATGGGCTTGATCTTAGAAGTTCTTCCTCAGGCATGGCATTGCCTGTGTATACAAAGGCTGTTGATTTTTGTGCATTGATTTTATATCCTGCTACTTTGCCAAACTCTTCTATGAGTTCCAGTAGTCTCTTAGTAGAGTTCTTTGGATCCCCTAAGTAAAGAATCATATCATCTGCAAAGAGGGATAGTTTGAGTTCTTCCTTCCCAATTTGTATCCCTTTAATTTCTTTTTCTTGCCTAATGGCTCTGGCTAAAACTTCCAGAACTATATTGAATAGCAGTGGTGAGAGTGGGCATCCCTGTCTGGTACCAGATCTCAGTGGAAATGCTTCCAGCTTTTCCCCATTCAATAGGATGTTGGCCGTGGGTTTTTCATAAATTGCTTTGATTGTATTGAGGAATGTTCCTTCTATATCCAGTTTGCTTAGAGTTCTCATCATGAAAGGGTGTTGTATTTTATTGAATGCTTTCTCTGCATCTATTGAGATAATCATATGGTTTTTCTTCTGCAGTCTGTTAATGTAGTGTATCATATTGATTGATTTGCGAACACTGAACCATTCCTGCATACCAGGGATAAATCCCACTTGGTCTGGGTGGATGATCTTTCTGATGTGTTGTTGCATTTTATTGGCCAGAATTTATTGAGGATTTTTGCATCTATGTTCATCAGGGATATTGGTCTGTAATTCTCTTTTAATGCTGCATCTTGATCAGCCCTTGTCCTGACTGTTGATGTACAATTTAATACTTTATCCCTTTTAGTATTTTTTTGTTCTACTTAATACTATTTTTGAACTCTGTAATTAACACACAATTATTCTTAGGTGTTTAAATTTAACTGAAAAGTGATCCCTGTTAAATATAAGAGTGGGCATAAGAGAGGGAAGAGATGTACAATTTGGGACATTCTCAATCGGACTTGCCCCAAATGGTGGAGTTAGAAATGTGCCAGGGGATTCCAATAAATCCCATCAAGGTTGCATGTACCAATGCCATCTTACTAGTACAAGTGATCAATTTCAGTTCACAATTGATCATACTGATAGGTCTAAGAGTCAAAGGGATCACATAAACAAGACTAGTGTCTGCTAATACTAACTGATAGAATAAAAAAAAGGAGAGAATGATCCAACGTGGGAAGTGGGATACACAGCAGACTCATAGAATGGCAGATGTCCTAAACAGCACTCTGGCTTCAGAATCAGCCCTTAAAGCATTCGGATCTGGCTGAGGAGCCCATGAGAGTATTTTAGGCATGGAAAGCCAAGACACTCTGGCAAAAAACCAAACCAAACCAAACCAAAACAAACCAAAACAAACAAACAAAAAACCTAAATGAAAGATCTCTGCGAGTGAGATCCCAGTAGAAAGAATGGGCCATCAAAGAAGGAGGTACCTTTCTCTGAAGGGAGGAGAGAACTTCCACTTTGACTATGACCTTGTCTAAATAAGATCGAAGTCGGCAATCTCAAAAGGCTTCCATAGCCTTGGCAACTCATGACTAGAGCCTAGGGTGATTACTGATGCCATAAACAAGAGTGTCAGTTTGTTAAGTCAACAACAGGAGTCACTGTGCACTTACTCCTCATGTAGGATCTTTGTCTTTCATGTGTTGTTCATTGTGAATTAATGCTATAACTAGTACTGAAACAGTATTTTACACTTTATGTTCTGTGTGGGTGCAAACTGATGAAATCTTTACTTAATGTATACTAAACTGATCTTCTGTATATAAAGATAATTGAAAATGAATCTTGATGTGAATGGAATGGGAGAGGGAGCAGGAGATGGGAGGGTTGTTTGTGGGAGGGAGGTTATGGGGGAGGCGAAGCCATTATAATCCATAAACTGCACTTTGGAAATTTATATTTACTAAATAAAAGTTAAAAAAAAAGAAAAGAGTAATGGCTGTCTTCATCTTTATTCTCCATGTATTTCTGCTTGGGGGAGGGACATGGGTCATCATCTTGGTGAATTTTTCCAACAAAATTTGATTTATTTTTCTAAAAAAATTTACTGGAACACTGTGTTCCTATCATGTTTTCTGTAAATATTTGTTAAATGAATGAAGGCATTTGCTATTCACGGACGTTTGCCGTAAGGTGTTTATTTAGCTTTAAAAGAGAAATGTTGGGAAATAATTATTTTGTACATGTTCATCTACATGTGTGGGGGTGTGTGTATACTTTCAGAAACACAAAAATACAACAGTTTCCTTTCTGTAGCAGGCAACCTCCCCTGGTTTTCACACCGTGTGTAATTCCCACTCCCCTTGAAACTAGAGACTCACTTCTAAAAAACAGAATATGGCAAAAATGAAAAATCTCTCTTTTGAGGTTAGGGTAGATGAGTACCATGGCTTCCATCCGGGGCCTTTCTCTCTGTCTCTCTGAGAGAAGTGAACAGCCCTGTGGACAGGTCCACATGGGAAGGACCTGAGGAAGTGTTCTTGCTTGCAGCAGCAAGGAATCCTTGCCTCCAGCTGAGCAGTTCTCAAGGAACTCGGTCTTGCCAGCAGCTACATGAGTTAGCAGGGATGTGGCTCGTCCACCTGACAGTTTGACTCTCATGAGAGACCTTGAGCCAGAGATTTCCAACTAAGCTGTGCCTTGATTCCTTACTTGCAGAAACAGAGAGGTAATAAACGTTTAGCTGCATTTGGGGTCTTTTGGTGCACTCCAGAAAATACCTAATATTTTAGGACAGAATATGCATTAACCAGGACCCAGTAGCAGAATGCACTCAGAAGGTGTTGAATACATGCTTATTAATGTTTATAAGTGGTAGACAACCAAAATATATTTGTGGAATTGTTCTAGGATTAAAATTTCCATGTTGCCTTAAGGGAAAATGTGAGGTCTTTTGAGAAGAAGGCAGGCAAGTGTAGAGAGGTATTTATTTGTTTTTCTTAAGGGTTTATTGTTAAATACAGGTACCTGTGTTAATTATTGTTTCTGAAGTGAGGAGGGGGATCTAAACAATTACCATGCTCACATTAGTGAGATTATTGAACTTGATACCGGCAGAAGAATATCACATTGAAATCTGGGCCAGGAAGTCTTTTAGAGGAAGACAATGTAGCCAATTTTGGACCAACTTGGTATTTTAATAACATTAGCACATTTAAATTCAGGGATAGTCCTTATAACTTTTAGTCATGGAATTTGCTGCCATTGCTGTGTAACTGAAGCATTAATACAAAATGTTTTTATCATGCTCCTTTGTGTTTTGGAGTGACTCAGGATTCTGACGTTGTTCTGTATAGCCTCTGAAATCAGGTAATACAGTACACAAAAAAGGTGGGAAGTCCTAGTGGTTGGGAGTATGGGCACTGAAGTCAGATGAGCAGGACTTACTAGTCTTATGACCTTTGGCAAGTTGCTCAATCTGTCTGAGCCCATTTTCTCAACTTAAAAATTGTAATAATGGTACCTACTGGGAAGAATACATGTCCATGTAAACATATATCACAGTATTTGGCACAGGACTGAATGTTAGCCATTGTTAATTATTTTCATTACTATCGTATAAATACTAAGTATTTTGTGTGGTACATAGTGAGTATGCAGTAAATATTTGTTTCCTGCCTCTTCTCTCTCCCCCTACTTCCTAACACCCAGCCCAGAGTGTTTCCTGAGTTCTATTTATTGATTGTATAGACCTTTCTCAATTCCTGATACAGGACATTTCTTAAATGCACTGCTTGTTTAAACCTTCTCTAATTTCTCCTTTTGTTTCTGAAGGTTTTTTATGTGAAGAAAGTCTTCTGAGATCCTCAGTGTAACACTTCAATCAGTAATTCAGATTCACCAGGTAACAGAATGTTTTTCTTGAAGATTAAAAATGCATAGTATCCAGGTGAACTAGGGAGATCTTTATTATCTGGTTATTCTATATATGTAGGATTCAGTGCCATGTTGTATATACCATTCTCTCTGAATATTACATTAACAGGAAGGGCTGTAGTTGTGTGAACTCAGTGCTGTGTTACAGGATGGAGCATTGTAGCAAAGTTACGTAAGGAAGATGATGCAGTGGGGGTTGCTTAACAAAATGCCCAAGCGCTAACCAGTGTTAAAATAATTTTTAATTTTTGCCAATTTATTAAATGAAACCGTAATTTTTATTTGAAAAGTTTAACGTTGAGATAATAAAATGTTAAAATAATGCTACCATTGTAAGTTTTTGCATTTAAGATAATTTAGTTGAAATGAGTGATTTTTTGTCTCAACAGCTCAATACCTATGATGGAATTGAATTTATTACTCAGTTACTAGGAAGGGATTAAACATATTAAAGACAAATAAATTAGGCTATTGTCAAGGATCTGAGAAGTGTAAAAATTCAGTAAGATTACATTTTCATGATATGAAAAGGAACAGGGGACTGGTTTAGGTTGCTTAGCACTACAGAAGTGTTTAAATGTGGAATAAACCTAATAAAGTAAAATAACACCTCAAAAGTGAAACCTCCAAATTCAATATTTGATTCAAGTATGTTCAGTTCTTAGATAGTATAGTATTGATTTTTCATTATTTAAAAAATAAAAATCTCATCAGAGGTCAGGTGTAGTTACTCAAGGGTTATCCCTGGGCAAAGCCATTGGGCATTCACTTTGTTGCTTCTTCATTCATTTGTTCACTGATTCGTTGAACATGATTTAATGAGTCCTGTTATTCTACAGACTCTATATTAGGTTCTGGGATAGATAGAATAGTTAACCAAACAGATCTGGGTTTGGGGAAATACCATCTTTTATATTGACTCTCATCCCTCTACTATGGGAATATTCATGGTGCCCATCGTAGGTTAAAGGCTCTGAGAAGTCCTGCAGTAAAGAAACATTTTGACTTCTTTGACATAATGTTTCCTGACTTACTTGACCACAGATCCCTTTTGTCAGGCCTACTGAAGTTGAAATGCACTATGAGAAATCTAGATTAAGATGAAATCTGCCTAGAAGGACAGGATGGCATTAGACAGCAAGGCCAGTAAAACTCTGCTTTAATTCATACTTGCTGATTGCATAGCCTCTACTTAACAAAGAGGAAACTTGTCACTGCCTTCATCTTGTCTAAGACCCTTCCCATTCTCTCAGCTTGCAACAGCCACATTTTCCAGCTTGGGAAATAACCCAAATTCAGTATGATGGGGAAGGTTTCCAGTTGGTTACAAATGTTAGCTGTTTGCCAAAGGGTGCCTCCTTACCCATCCTGTCCCTTCAGTTTCAGCAGTAGATAAAAATGTGGAGTATGTGGTGACATTGGGTTCTTTTAAAAGCATTCCAGCAAATCCAACTGGTCTGAAAGAAGAGCTCTTTTGCCTTTTTTGGAATTGCATGCTTTCATAGTGTTAAAATACCCATCAAAATTACCTTTAGTGCACTGCAAAAAAAATTAATGCATGCAAAGTAATGTAAGCACATGGTACTTTTAATTTTTCGGTGGCCCCAGGGCACCGTTATCTGTTCTTTTCTGGGAAATCAGTCATCATGTAGCTATTGGGGAAAGGGAGCACTTCGGCCCCTTTTCTGGGAGCAATCCAGTGCAGTATGGATATTAATTAAATTTATTAAACAAATAACACAGCGACTCGGGGAAGCAGGGGTCCATCTGCCAGCTCTGCAGACAGATCTCTGCAGAGACGCGAGCTGAATGGTAGTTAAAGCGAAGTTGCCGAGCTCAGCAGATGGGCTCTTGTCTCCAGTGGGGGAGATTTGGTGGCGGTCCAACAACTCTTTTCCCCCTCCAGGTTTTTGTTCCTTGCAACTGTGATTGAAGGAGCCCTTCTCTGTCTTTTCCCAGCCTCGTGCCTCTCTCCCCCACCCCACCCCCCTTTGTTTATGTGAGCAATGTTTAAATCTGAGTGATTTGTTAGAGAGGCAAGTCCCGGCTGATCTCATTTTGTGTATGTGCTGTAAAGCTGAAGCAGAAAATAATTAGGAAAATGTAATCCCATTGACTTTACACCCCACTTGTGTACATTGCAGCAGCTCAGCCCCATGCACTGGAATAAAGGCCCTGCACAGATTGAAATTTACTCAGCGTCCCCGTGCTCTGCACTTAGAAGTCCATATTATTCTGAGGTTTAGATGCTTACTGTCCTTAAACATGTTCCTTTTAGAACTCCGTGACTTTCAAACCATGATATTTAAGGATTCTTGTTTGGAGGGTTTTTTTTTCTACCCTAATGTCTTCATAGTCCCTTGGCAAGTGTCTCGATGCCTTCAGTCCCAGTGTCTCCTTCCCTTGCCATCTGGGACGAGATGCAGTGACAGCGTCAAATCAGCACATTTATGATGTTCTGTATCTCTCGGAAACCCACTTCCCCACTTTCCAACTCACATATTCCCAGAAAGGATGGTGAATTTGAAACCTCCCCGCAGTAAAGGACTGCTTTGCTTTCAGTTGGTTATCGCTTCCCAGCATTTGGTGTGATTTTTGACCAAAGCCCACTTGGACAGAATTTAATGCTAGGATGTTAGATTGATGTAAACAACCCCCCACCACACACACACACACACACACACACACCCCTTCTCCCACCTGAACATTTGGGAAATTCATTTTGTAGAAGGGGCTCTCCTCTCTGGCCACGTCCCCTCACGTGGGACTGATGCCTTTCATGGGGTCATCACACACCCCCGGCGAGGCGGCTTGTGTGCTGCATTGACAGCAAAGTTTTGGACAAAATAGATACCACCTTGGGCTGAGTCCTGAAATGCCCTTGCCTTGGAGAGATAGGTCTGCTTCCAGCCAACCTGCCACGGGGTTGTATTTTCAGAGATAACAGCTCCTCTGTGGCCTGGAAGCTCCTCTAATCAAAATGCATTCCCTCCCTCCCCAACAAAACCCACCATTCTCTGCCAGCAGAGGTCTCAGCTGGCTACAGAACCCAACGAGAGGAGTGGATGAGTCTGGGATTAGGATTTCCTCAAAGTGTGTTGAGTCATAGGAAATATGGAGGCCAAACTTTGAATGCATGGATCTGTTTGTTGAAGCACAAAGAAATCTTAGCTGATGAGCCTGCACCCACCTAGGTTGGGTGGCCAGTTAAGTTCTGCTGCCCGTGAAGGTGTTTGGCCAAGTCTGTCTTTGATATTAGTCCCCGTTTATGCTTTTGGAACCCAACTTACAACCCAGATCTCGTGAGGTTGAACCAGGATGTGCAATAGTTTGGCTGCTGTTGTCAGTTGCTGTCCTCCCCTGAGGTCCTAGCCCTGCCTCGGGTCACACTGATATTAATCTTAGGAAGGTGGCTGTTACTGTGGAGTTAGGTGGAAGGTTTTGGTTTTCATCACAGCCCTACCAAGGGGTATTGTGAGTTCTAAGAGTTATTGTCATTCCCCAATCCTTCATGAATTTTAAGAACTAAGCTCAAAAGATGGCCATGAAGTGGCTGGGGGAGAATGTGTGCTTTCCAGCCGACTCAGAGGTGAGCTGCCAATTTGTTTCTCTAATTTGTTGGAAGTCCCAGTCTGCTGGGGGGTGGGGGTAGACAGCACACTTTGAATTCATAGGCTATTTACCAGAATATCTGCTGTGCCTCTCCTTCCACCTTGGTGTACCTGGACTAATTTTGTTCTCTGATTTAAATCGCTATCGAGCTGCTTTGGCATCTCAATTTAAGGGAAGATTGGACGTTGTTTTTCAAAGGGAATTGCGAGTCTTTTACTCTTGTCTGAAAACAGATTGTGGCTTCATTCCCAAGGATAAGCTTAGAAATCACATATAAATCTCAGGGTTTTATTCGTAGCAAACTGTTTTCAACCCTCTTGACAACACATTAGTATAAATGAAGAAAGCAGAGGAAAAGCCAGGAAACACCCAGACAGTGTGTACATATTTCTAATCAGCTTCCTGGGCTTGCCATTCTGCTAAACACATTTTGTTTACTCTCAGGCTTCGATTGCTTTATTACAGATTTTGTAGACAGCATGACAACTTGGGACTACATGCATAAAAAGTTTTTGATTGAGGACAATTAATACTCATTTTTAAGGAACTGCAGTGTTGAGAAATAGCAGTTTATTTTATTTAAAAATAAAAGATTTATTTTATTTTTGAGACAAGAAGCATGTTCCTTCTTCTCTAGGAGAGAGAATAAAGAGTATGATATCTTTGAGCAAATTCTAGTACGACCTATTAGTTTGGGACTGAAAATAATGATGTTTGAACTGTGGCACAGGGGACATAGCCCAGTTCTTGAGAGGAAAAGGAAGGTTTGTGGTCATTGCCATCCTAAATGACGTCATGGTCTGTTTTGGAAACAAGTCTGGTGCCTGCTTTGTACTTGTGTTATGCCAAGGAGCTTTTTGTAATCCTGGTTATAATAAAGATTGATTGTTGATTAGAATTGCATTGCTTTCTGGGAGCCAAGCTAAAGAATCTAGCACTCTCTGTTTTAGTCGCTGGCCATCTGAGTCTTCTTTGGTCCTAGAATCCCTTGCCTGGGCAGTGCTTCAAAAAACTGCCTTCAATTCTTCTAACCTTTAAATTTTAATTTGAAAGGTGGAGAGGGAGGGGCAGAGCAAGAGGTCTTCTGTCAGTTTACTCCCCCCAAAAAACACAACATCTGGGGTCTCCCACATGGGTGGCAGGAATCTTGCTACTTAAGCCATCACCTGCTACTTCCCTGTGTGTGCATTAGCAGCAAGCTAGATTGGAAGCAGAGACAAGACTTGAACCCAGGGACTCCGATATGTGATTTGGATATTTCAAGCAGTGACCCAGATGCTGTTCCAAATACTTGCCCCTCTAATTGTGTCTTCTGAGGTCAAGTTGAAGGCCTTCCTGAATCTGGCATAATTCTTA